GATGCAGACAGCAGCAGCAGTATCAGCAGTTCTGTGTGGGTGCGTGTGCCACTACTGATTGTGGTTACACTGGCCTGTATTCTTGTGTGCTGATTTTAATGGTGGGACTCATTTGAGAACAAATAATAATAATGGTTAAACTAACATAATCATAATTGCTTATATACCCTATGGGTGAATAAATTAATAATCTGTTTACCAGCTTTCTCTTTTAATTATGAATTTCTTTTGTGTGTGTGTTCGTTTTCTAATAATTACATTACTTGCTTTTCCCGTTGTGTGTGTGTGTGCAGAAAACTGGGCTGTTCTGCTCACTGACGGTATACATCTCTTGCTAGTACACATGTATATGTGTGTGTGCAGTAATTTAATATACATAAACTAGAGCCGTGGGGTATTGTGTGTGTTTGGCTCTCTATTATTTGGGTATTGTGGGGTGTTCTCTTTTTTCTATTAATGGATACATATTATTGAACAAGGGGATATTACTTTTTCTTGCTTTACTGTGCAGTTGCTGCTTCTCTCTCTTTATCCCACTGTGAGTATTTGTTGTATTGGTGTATGTTTGTTTGTTTTATCTTAATCTTTTCCTTTTGTTTCTCTTCCTTGTATTAGGCTATTGAAGTAAACAACAACAATGACAAAGGCTGTAATGGTGAGGCGATACCTGCTCTGTTTATTAACTCTTACACTCTGTTGTGCTTGTGGGTTAGTATGGGCTGATGGTCCTAAAGCTTCTGATTCCCTTATTAAACCTTCTACTGTTGGTGTTCCTTCTCTTGTTCGTCGTGCCATTCCTGCAGATGGAGATTGGCTTGTGTGGAATGTGGATCAGGAAGAAGAGAATGAGGAGGAAGTTGCAGAACCAAATGTTGCTTCTACGGATCCTGGTGGCTTGCGTTCTTCGTCTAGTAGTACATCCATTAATACGGGTCTCTCAGGTGGTGGACCTGGGCCTAAAGAACTAGAGAGAGCAGAGGAAAACAGACACCTCGGAGGGGATGTGGGTCACAATCGACAAACAAATGATATCAACCCATCAGGTAATCCTAGGGTAAATGGGCAAGTGAGTGCTACTCTTCCAGCCATATCTCCTTCTGCTCTGGGAGGTCAACAGCCTGTTTCTCCTGCACCAGAGCCAGCTCCAGTTGCACCAAAAGTATCCAGTGAACACTCAAGTACAGAACGAACTGAAGATTCATCCACTAAAGACGATCATGCTCTTCAACATGCAATGAAATCACCAGAGAAACAACAAGAAGGCACAAATACTCACGATAAACAAGGCGGAAAGACCGCAGATACATCAATGCCAGAAACTCCTGTCGTGCAAGAGAGTTCTGCCAATACACCTCAGAATACACCTGAGACTTCTTCCAGCACTTCAGCCACACCGAATGCTAACGAATCTGGAGATGCACAGAGTGAATCAACAAGTACCCAAAACACTGATGTGGGTAGTGCCAACTCCTCAACCACCACCACCACAACTACAACAACAACACTTCCTCCTGAACTCACAAACAACAAGAAGGGTGATGCAGACAGCAGCAGCAGTATCAGCAGTTCTGTGTGGGTGCGT